GGGGGGGGGGGTGCGGAGCGTCGAATTCGGTGCAGAATAAAATCGAGGTTGAATTAATTGAATTCGTGAATTCATCCAGCCCTTTCCGAGATCCGAGGGTGGGTGGGTGGGAGATCCAGATCTCTACATCTCTGCGGACGTTAGAGGTCATCTAGTCCAACCCCCTGCTAAAGCGGGAGATCCTTACAGAATCATAGAATAACAAAGTTGGAAGGGACCTTGGAGGTCATCTAGTCCAACCCCCTGCTCAAGCTGGAGATCCTTACGGAAAAACAGACTTGGAAGGGACCTTGGAGGTCATCTAGTCCGACCCCCTGCTCAAGCGGGAGATCCTTAATAGCAGAGTTGGAAGGGACCCCGGAGGTCATCTAGTCAACCCCCCTGCTCAAGCGGGATATATTTAATAACAGAGTTGGCAGGGACCTAGGAGGTCATCTAGTCCAACTCCCCTGCTCAAGCTGGAGATCCTTACGGAATAACAGATTTGGAAGGGACCTTGGAGGTCATCTAGTCCAACCCCCTGCTAAAGCGGGAGATCCTTAATAGCAGAGTTGGAAGGGACCCCGGAGGTCACCTAGTCCAACCCCCCCTGCTCAAGCAGGATATATTTAATAGCAGAGTTGGCGGGGACCCAGGAAGTCATCTAGTCCAACCCCCTGCTCAAGCGGGAGATCCTTATGGAATGAGAGTTGGAAGGGATCTTGGAGGTCATCTAGTCCAACCCCTTGCTCAAGCAGGAGATCCTTAATAGCAGTTGGAAGGGACCTTGGAGGTCATCTAGTCCAACCCCCTGCTCAAGCGGGAGATCCTTAATAACAGAGTTGGAAGGGACCCCGGAGGTCATCTAGTCAAACCCCCTGCTCAAGCAGGATATATTTAATAACAGAATTGGCAGGGACCCAGGAGGTCATCTAGTCCAACTCCCTGCTCAAGCAGGAGATCCTTATGGAATGAGAGTTGGAAGGGATCTTGGAGGTCATCTAGTCCAACCCCCTGCTCAAGCAGGGGACCTTACAGAATCATAGAATAACAAAGTTGGAAGGGTCCCATGAGGTCATCTAGTCCAACCGCCTACTGAAGCAGGAGACCATTACAGAATCATAGAATAACAAAGTTGGAAGGTACCCAGGAGGTCATCTAGTCCAACCCCCTGCTCAAGCAGGATATATTTAATAGCAGAGTTGGAAGGGACCCCGGAGGTCATCTAGTCCAACCCCCTGCTCAAGCGGGAGATCCTTAATAGCAGAGTTGGGAGGATCCCGGAGGCCATCTAGTCCAACCGCCTGTTCAAGCGGGAGACTCTTACAGAATCATAGAATAACAAAGTTGGAAGAGTCCCAGGAGGTCATCTAGTCCAACCCCCTGCTGAAGCAGGAGACCTTTACAGAATCATAGAACAGAGGTGGAAGGGATCTTGAAGGTTATCTAGTCCAACCTCCTGCTTAAGCGGGAGACCCTTACAGAATCATAGAGTAACACAGTTGGAAGGGAACCTGGAGGTCATCTAGTCCAACCCCCTGCTCAAGCAGGAGACTCTCGCAGAATCATAGAATAACAAAGTTGGAAGGGACCCAGGAGGTCATCTAGTTCAACCCCCTGCTCAAGCGGAAGATTCTTAGAGAATCATCATGATCCCCGGGTCATCAGCTCCGTGGCCAGTAGAGAACGAAGCCGTCCCGGGTTTTGGCGAAATCCGGCAGGGTCATGTCGGCGCGGGTCTCCACCGTCACTAAGCGCTTCCGGCTGTTTTGGCTAAGTGGGATGCGGTCGGTCACCGTGACGTGGAGGTCTCGCTTGAGCCTGCACAGAGAGAGAAAAGAGGGGTCTGAAAAATGAGCCAGAGGGTAACCCAGCGGGAGAAAACGCACAAACTATGGTTTGTTTCAATCATGGTTTATTGAAAAGTCAGGTTTACTAAGCCAGAAATCCTGCATTAGGGCAGCTTGGGATGTGTGGATCAGGACTTCGACTCCCAGAATCCCCCAGCCGGCATGTTTTAAGAGGGGAGGACTTCAATTCCCAGAATCCCCCAGCCAGCATGCTTTAAGAAGGGAGGACTTCCACTCCCAGAATCCTCCAGCCGGCATGCTTTAAAAGTGGAGGACTTCAACTCCCAGAATCCTCCAGACTATATGCTTTAAGAGTGGAGGACTTCAACTCCCAGAATCCCCCAGCTGGGATTGTTTAAGAGGGATGAACTTCAACTCCCAGAATCCCCCAGCCAGCATGCTTTAAGAGGGGTGGACTTCCACTCCCAGAATCCCTCATCTGGCATGTTTTAAGAGGGGAGGACCAATTCCCAGAATCCCCCAGCCTGCATGGTTTAAGAGGGGAGGACTTCGACTCCCAGAATCCCCCAGGCGGTATATTTTCCCAGAATCCCCTAGCCGGCATGCTCTAAGAGGGCTGGACTTCAGCTCCCAGAATCCCCCAGCCAGCATGCTTTAAGATGGGAGGACTTCGACTCCCAGAATCCCCCAGCCGGCATACTTTCCCAGAATCCCCCAGCTGGCATGCTTTAAGATGGGAGGACTTCAACTCCCAGAATCCCCCAGCCAGCATGCTTTAATTTTGATCCCTGTCCCCTTTTTCACAGCCATTGCATCTTTGAACGATCACTAAACGAATCGTCGTAAGTCAGGACCATCTCTAGGGCCGTCAATCCGTCATAGTGACACTTCTCGTCCCATTGGGCGACCCAGAATCCTCCGTATCCCCCCCCCCCACGAAACAGAGCCGAGGATTTCACCCAGATCTAATCTTAGCCTAGCCATGCTGTCCGTCTCTTCCTGGCCCACCGTCGCCATGGCAACTGGGTGCTAGGTGAGCGTCATGGCAACCAGAGCATCCTTCGTACCGCAACTTTCCCGGCAGGACCACGAGCAAAAAAACCCAAAAAAACTAGGATGAAGGACAGAATCCGGCTTGCGAAACGAGAAACCGGCGACTGAAGGTCGAGAAAAAAAATAATTCAGATTTTTTTTTCCCACCCCACCGATCGTCCTCGGACTTATGACGATTCGTTGAGTGACCGAAATGAAAACCGCGCTGCTGGGGGAAAAAAAAAAAGAGGCAATTTCGGACCGTGATTCACACTTCACAACCTGCGGTCCCAGGATACCGAATTCGGACGCTTCGGGCGACCGGCGCGCGGTCGCGACGGTCGCCGCGCGGCGGGGTTCCGTTCTGATCCACTTCGGCGACTTTCTGACGAGCAAAGTCAACGGGGGGAGGGGATAGCGTGATTCGCTTGAGAGCCCCGGGACTCGCTTAAGAACGGCAGGGATTCGCTCGAGAAAGGTGACGAGCCCAGTCGTAAAATGGGGCAAAGGGGACGGAACCAACGTCTCACTTAAAAAGAGAAAACTGGGGCTCCGTTGAGGTTGTAAGTCGAGGACTGCCCGTATGAATTCTCTCTCTTGAAAGGGGTTGTTTGTAGGCCAACTATTTAAAGTCCACCTTTACGCTTTTTTCCCCCTTTCCTTTACTTTACTTTCCCTTCTTTTTCCTTTCCTTTCCTCTCCTCTCCTTTTTTCTTTCTTTTCTTTTCTTTCCTTTCCTTCTTTCTTTTCCTTTCCTTTCCTCCCCTTCCTTTCTTTTTCCTTTCCTTTCCTTTCCTTTTTTCTTTTCCTTTACTTTCCCTTACTCCCCTTCTCTTCTTTTTCCTTTCCTTTCCTTTCCTTTTTTCTTTTCTTTTTTTTTCTTTTTTCTTTCCTTTCCTTTCCTTTCTTTTTGTTTTTCTTTCCTCCCCTCCCCTTCTTTTTCCTTTCCTTTCCTCTCCTTTTTTTTCTTTCTTTTTTCTTTTCTTTTCTTTTCTTTTTTCTTTTCTTTCCTTTCCGTTCCTCCCCTCCCCTTTCCTCGGCCTTCGCGCGAGGGAGGTCAAAAAAGTCAAGATGGCGGCAGGAAGCGTGAAGAGGCTTCCCCCCCAACTGACAATCAAAGCTGAGCCTGGTAATTTGGACCTGATCTTACGACCTTTTTCCTTGGTTTTACGACATTCCTCAGAGGGGCAAACGCCACTGATTCCCACCCTTAGGCATCTTAAGAGGGGAGGACTTCAACTCCCAGAATCCCCCATCCAGCATGCTTTAAGAGGGGAGGACTTCCACTCCCAGAATCCCTCATCTGGCATGCATTAAGAGGGGAGGACTTCCACTCCCAGAATCCCCCAGCCAGCATGCTTTAAGAGGTATGGACTTCCACTCCCAGAATCCCCCAGCCAAGATGCTTTAAGAGGGGAGGACTTCAACTCCCAGAATCCCCCAGCCGGCATGCTTTAAGAGGGGGGATTTCCACTCCCAGAATCCCCCATACTTTAAGAGGGATGGACTTCCACTCCCAGAATCCCCCAGCCGGCATGCTTTAAGGGGGGAGGACTTCAACTCCCAGAATCCCCCATCCAACATGCTCTAAGAGGGACTTCCACTCCCAGAATCCCCCAGCCAAGATGCTTTAAGAGGGGCGGACTTCAAGTCCCAGAATCCCCCAGCTGACATGTTTTAAGAGGAAAGGACTTCAAGTCCCAGAATCCCCCAGCCAGCCTGCTTTAAGAGGGATGGACTTCCACTCCCAGAATCCCCCAGAATATGTCGGATGACCCCCCTCATCATCCCAGCAACACGGTCCGGGAAGGCTGTGGATGATGGAAGCTGTAGTCTCCGCCCCTTCTTCCTCTGCCGAGGAAGCTCACGTCTTGACCTCGGTTTCCACGCTCTGAATTGTGCAAAGGGCCAATGGCAAAGATTTTTTTTTCCAGAAGAGGGAAAAAAAATAAATCTGCCTTTCCTGCTCACCCATCACCCGGCGATATTCTTCCTCTTTCTCCTCGCTGTTTCATTTTTTCCTCCCTCTCCTCCCTCCCTGCTCTCTCTCGCTCTCTCTCTTTTCCGAAGCTGAGCTGCTCAAGCGAATTTTCCGGCAGTTACTTAGCAACCCTCTAAAAAGAGATTTCTCACATTTCCTGAAAGTGGGGCAGCAACTCCTCCAGCTTTGCGAGATGGAGCAACATGCAACGGAGGAGGCTGCTGGAGACTCCGAAACTGGAGGAAGACGGGATAGCTCAGTGTCTTCCTTCCTACCCTGTTATTCCGTGTTTCACGGTTTCAGCTAACAAACTACGAGCCTCCTAAACCCGTCTAAAACTGCTAAACGATTCCTGGAAGCCTGGCATTCCGACGAAGCAGCCATCACCGGACACATAAGAGATAAATAATGTTTACACCCCGTTGAAAAGAGACGGGAATTCCTGGCATTC